CAATAGGTTGTATAAAATAACCGTTAAAAGTCTATAATAACTAGATAGGAAAGTCATGTGTTGGACATATCAGATTTGTGTTTATACATGTTTTCTCTTAAATGGATCGTATTCAAGATATTTGAGAAAATAAGCAAATCTCGAATTGCACTTTTTTATATTTAATAATTAAAATTAAATTAAAATTAATGACATAAAATCTATTTTACATATATTTTAGAATGTCTAAAACAATGGTCATTGCCTAGTTTGAGCTCTCTTCGCTTCTGAATAAACTAAGCATATGTATCATTATTGTAAACAAAAAAATCTTAGTTTTATAACTTGTATAAATTAATAACTAAAATGAATATAATGCTTAGCATTCTATATTATTCTCTTCACAATTTAACAGACATTTTCAAACAAATTTTTCCAAACTCAATAGGCTTCATCCCCTTATAAAGCTTGAATTTTCCTGAAGATTTCAATTTAATATCGTTTCCTGCTTAAGCTCTTAAGAGAATGAAGCCTATTGATTTCGAAAAAAATTTGAATAAAAATGGGGCATTAAGGTGGGCTGAAATATTGAAAAAATCCTAACAACAAACAATATCAAATTGAAATCTTCAGGAAAAATCAAGGCTCTATAAGACAACGAATCCTATTGACTGAATAAAATGGGGGGTTAAGGGGGGTTAAAATAAAAAAAAACTCATCATAAATCAAAAACGAACAGCCATATCAACATGAAATTTTTAGTAAAAATCAAGGTCTATAAAAAGATGAAGCTATTGATTCTTAAATAAATCTGAATTAAAATGGAGCGGTTAAGGGGGGTTGAAATATTTAAAAAAATCCTAATTCAAAAACGAAAAATAAAATTAAAAATAGAGCTCTATAAAGGGACAAATCCTACTGACTAAAAAAAAATGTGAACAAAATGGGGGTTAAGGAGAATTGAAATAAAAAAAAAATAGAAATCAAACACCAAAAACGAAATCAACATGAAATTTTTAGTAAAAATTAAGCTTTAGGAGAGAAAAAAGCCTATTGATTCTGAAATGAATCTGAAGAAAAATGGGGGTAAAAGGAGGATTGAAATATTGAAAAAATCCGAACTTAAAAACAAAAAACGATATCAAATTGAATTCTTCAGGAAAAATCAAGCTCTATAAGAAGACGAAGTCTATTGAATTTGAAAAAATCTGAATACATCTGTAAGGTTAGGGGGAGGGGGTAAAAATATAAAAAAAATCCTAACTCAAAAACGAAAAATGATATCAACTAGAAATTTTTAGCGAAAAACAAGCTCTATAAGGACTCAAAGCCTATTGATTTTAAATAAAATTCTAATTAAAAATGGGAGAGGGTTAAGGGGGGTTGAAATTAAAAAAAAAATATAAATCAAAAACGACAAGCGATATAAATATGAAATTTTTAGTAAAAATCAAGTTCTATAAGAAGATGAAACCTATTGATTCTTAAATAAATCTGAATTAAAATGGGTGAAAATAATAACTTGAAATTTTTAGCAGAAATCAAGTTTTATAAGGGGACAAAGCCAATTAATTTTAAAAAAATTTGTGAACAAAATAATTGGTTAAGGAGGGTTGTTATAAAAAAAAAATAGAAATCAAACTTCAAAAAGGATATCCAGATGAAATTTTTAGTAAAAATCAAGCTCCACAAGGGAATGAAGCCTATTGATTCTAAAAAAAGTCTGGATGAAAATGGGGGATAAGAGAGGGTTGATATTCTAACTCAGAAACAAAAAACGTTATCAAATTGAAATCTTTAGGAAAAATCAAGCTTCATAAGGGGATGAAGTCTACTGATTTTAAAAAAATCTGATTGGAAATGGGGGTTAAGAGGGGTCTGTTAAACTGTGAAGAGTATAATCTAGAATGCCAATCTTCATTCTAATCATTTACACAAGATATGGATCTTAAGTTTTGTGGTGACAATATCAATATCTACAATTACCTATGCTTAGTTTTTGATAAAATCCTTACTTTTTTGTAAAGAATTAGTCTCTTCCACATTAAAAAGGGTTCTATTTTTTTTTTCTAAATTGCTTTCTTTTTGTGACACTAAAGTGTTATGGACCCTTTTTCCGTAATGGAAAAGAGCTCAAACTATACATTTATCTATTTACCAAAATAATTTCTATAAAATGTAGATAAGATACTTGCATGTTTTGGCAATTTTGCAGCTTTATAGAATTTATGCACTAACCGCTACTGGCTACATTGCATTCATTTTCCATCATTCCCAAGTACATATTATTGAGACACTCTTTATAACAAACTATGTTTTTAATAATATAATATTCTTTTAACAAATTTACTCACCCAACTGAAGCAACTATTCAACAAGAACATTCACATATTAAAGCGGTCAATGAAACGGAACATGATTATATTGCATAAGCAAAAACATAAAGCAGTTAGTTATTAGATGAACACAATTGCAACTGCGATTATGAAGTTGGCTTGATAGCAATTGCCTCCGTCTCCGTACTCCGTACGTAAGGAAGTACTGCTTAAACTGGTGGTAAGTTGTGAGATGCCTAGTACCAGTCACGGTAACTACCTCTACTATTTGCTAAGGTACGCACAGCGTTGCCAATTATTAAGTATCTTACTTAATGCCATCTTCATGAGTAAATAGTTGGAATATTTATGTATTTATTTCCTTATATTTATTCAGGATTGTGTACTAAAATAATAAAAAACGACTAGTAACGGTAACAACAATTAACTATGAAATATAACCAAAATTATTATCAAGCATGTAATTTCCTATTCACTTTTTTACTCCCGCACCTTTATGTAATCTTTGATCTCTAACTTGCTGATATGTTATATAATCTATTAGTGGTGTACCTAACTCGAACGATACACAACATTTATCAGTACACAATAAACCGTTATGGGTCAAAATATGTAAATACGGTATATACATTTTTTTTTAAATTTAAACCATTTTATTTGTATTGAAGCCCAAGACACTTGATCCAACGATATTACAATTATTTATCATTTTATTTGATTGGTGGTCACCAAAATAGTCGTACAGCATCGATAACTTCTTCATTCCTCGATTTTATTTAGGAATTTTTTTGTTTTCCGGAGGTGTTATATATGCATACACTAGGGGAAGGAGACGAGTATTACTCATTTAACCTCCCCACTAACCCATAAAAATGGGGAAGTTATTGCAATCACTGAAAAATTAGAATTTGAGATAACACCGTTGGCCGGAATTTTTTCATTAATTTAATTATTTAATATGAATTCTGATGCCTTGGTAGGATTCCCCACTCGACCATTCACTGTTGGGTTCTAATTAACAGTGCTGTTCCTAAAGTGGCGCTGGGAAACAGTAACAAAGCCTACATAGAACACAAGGCGAAATAACCTTAGCAGTTGAAGCCGATGACACAAAAAAAAACACCAGATATTTACGTCTTGGGGTAAAAAATATGTTTTTAAAATATCCTTGTGTATAGTCGGCGCAGCCCAAATGTGAATGCACTTTGGTTGTCATGGGATTATTTACAAACAAAATATATTACTTTTATTAATGTAGTTTTGTCAAATAAGTCTTATCTACATGAAATGTGCAATAAAAAATTAAAATAATATAAAATTACAAAAAGAGTTTATTTATTATAAAATTAAATTAACATCTAGGAATATAAAACTACAAAAAGCGTTTATTTATTAAAATGCTATATTAAAATTAAATTAACTTTTAAACCTATTAAACTATAAAAACGAAAATTGGTCTTTAGGTGAATTAAATGTAAAAATTGCATATTTTAATTAAACAGTTGCAAGAACAACAAAGATTGCGAAGACGTTTCAGAGAAGGTGTAGGAAATATCTCTAATAAAAATAAAAACAATGCTTGCTTCGATATTTAACAGCTATTCGCTCAGTGCGAAGTCATGGTAGGGGAAGCAAAAGGGATACTAGGGCAAGCTGCGAATAATTCAAGCACTTCAGGGCGATATTTTGTAATTTGGGCGTATAAAATACACGTTGTGATACCGCGAGATACCGTCTTTGTATAAGCGCAAATATCGCTGTTTTGTTTTTTAATTGGAGTTGCATTGAGTGTAGTTATTATTATGAATATCATACTGTTTTCAAGCACTATAACTATTAATGAACGAATGAATAATTAAGTATAGTAATATTTGTTTTGCTTTTAATTACGTTGAAAACCATTTATAAACATTATTTATAGTCAGCTGACTTTTCTTCATATTTTGAGATTGTGTTTGCATATATATCAGGTTATGTAGAAAGCTTGACATTGGTTTTTGTGTAAAAAATTTTATTATAAGAAACTTTACTCACCTTTTTTAAGTTTTTGTTGTAAATTTAATAATTTCCACAATTTGTCACACATGTCAAATAAAACAATATATTTTATAAATACCTTTTATTGGCAAATAAAACAAGAGAAGTCAAATGTTTATTTTATAAGATCAGTCCCATCACAATACATAATATTACACAGATGCAAACTAGAATGAAGATATATTGCGTGGCATTCTAAATTATACTCTTCACAGTTTAACAGACCCCCCTTAACTCCCATTTTATTTCGGATTTTTTTCAAAATCAATAGGCTTTATCCCCTTAAAAAGCTTGATCTTTCCAAAAATTTCAAGATATTTTGTTCGTTTTTGAGTTTTTTTTAAATATTTCAACCTTACTTATATTCAATTGTTTTTCACCATCAATAGGCCTTATCTCCTAAAAATTTCATAATGATATCGCTTTTTATTTTTGAATTATGATTTTTTTTTTTAATTTCAATCTCCTTTAAACCCCCCTTTAGACCCCCTATTTTTAACCGTAGTTCATTTCAAAATCAAAGGGCTTCTTCTCCTTATAGAGCTTGATGTTTGCTTTCAAGTTGATATCATATTTCGTTTTTGAGTTAGGATTTTAATCCCCATTTAACAAAATTTACACCAGCTAGAATAAACCTATTTATAACCCTAACCAATTTAGATATTCCCTTCCCAATAAATATCGTATACCTACTAAGCTACAATTACAGAAATATAAACGATGCCCTTATAAATTTTCCAAAACGATGTAAATTAAAAATTTAAAAATAAAGAGTTCATGATTATTGACTGTCTATGGCAAATGGTTTGTTCAATGCCATCCTTCTTCTTTTCAAACTCACACACAATCCTCCTTAACCCCCCCATTTATTCAGATTTTTTTCAGAATCAATAGTCTTTATCTTCTTAGAGAGCTTAATTTTTACTAATTCTAACCTCCTAATAAATCAGATTTTTTCAAAATCAATAGGCTTTGTCCCTTTATAGAGCTTGATTTTTGCTTAAAATTTTCAAGTTATCATTTTTAGTTTTTAACTTATCGTGCAGACAAAAAACGTGACATAGGACAGACGGACAAAGTAAACCTATAATATTCTTCACAAACTACTGTGTAAAGAGTATAATAATATAATCAAGGCTAAAACAATAACATAAGACTAAAAAAATCGGGGTGCAATAAAAAAATAACAAAGTCAAACTTTTGAAAATTATTTAATAGATAATTAGTACCTATTATAGAAGTTATCATTCTAGTCAACTTTTTAGTAGAGCAGACTGAATGTTATTTGGGCACTTTTTGTTTTCCTGATTTACATTTATTATATTTCAACAAGAAATGCAGTTAGCCTTATTTATTGTCACGATAAATCGATGGCTTAGCCCACAAAAGTGTGCAATTTTGGGACAAATTGTGTTAAATGCATGTACCTACTTATATGTGTACAAATAATTTATCTTTATTTCGTTTTATTATTTAATCAGAAACAACAAAGAAGTGTTGAAAGGGTTTGGTAGATACATTTCATGTGATATATGTAACAGAGAGCTATAGCTTCAAACCTTTAAACTTAAGTTGTGAAAAATTAGAAAAATGTTATTTAACACATGTGTGCACTAAACCATCGATATATTGTTTACTAATAATCAAATTATTAAAACTTTTTTTAATACACATAAATTGTTAGTTTTTGTAACATATTTCTATATTCTGATAACAATTTTTCTATGATATTGTGTTGTCATATACATTACTGGAAAGTCGTGTGTTGGGCACATTATATATTATTATACAAAAGACAGGATATGTACCGTACTGATACTTTGTATCAGTGCCTTATCAACTCTATTTATTTTAAAACAACTCCGGTACTGAACACTATTGCGTAAGTAGGTACTTTTTGCATTGGCCAATTTTTTATAATTAACTTATTTCGACTACCTCTGGCCATTATAATTAATTTTAGTATTATTTGTTTATAAACAAAATCGGTGTGCATGATGTAGAGGGGAAAATATGAACATTATCCGAACTTTCCACTATTCACATTTTATAGATTGACTCATCTTATTCGAATTCCGAACCCCAAAGTTCCTAGACGAGAATATGCTCTTAAGGGCCGATCAAACGTTAGCACGTGCTATTCAAAAACATCTGCTCCAACAGCTGATACACATTTAAACCATTGGCATTGATGAGACACCTTAAAGGTATACACATGGTAAAAACATCGGTAAACTTGTTGAATTCGAAGATATTTATATGCAGGAACTTTTACATGCAATTTTGAAAATCGTTAAAATTGATTAAATAAGGAAAAAATAAATAAAAAATGAATAAGGGGAACTAAAAAAATGATAAACAGTCAATAGAAAGTAATTTTAAAAAATCAGAAGTATTCTTCTTAGTTATTTCAAAAAATTTAAAAATTCGGATTTAGAAATTAGTAAAACCATTAATGCAATATAAAGGTAATTATACAATTTTCAATTAAATGACAATGGGCCAAAATGAATGGTAACTGGTTCGACCCCTAAATAGTAAAAAATTATCCAATGAAAAAAATATATTAACGAAAATTAAAAAAAAATGATTTATTGTTACGACACATCCCGATTTTCTCTACTAATGAATTTGATTTCTTATTCCAGTAGTTTTTATGGACATAGTAAAGGTAAGCATGGAAATATTCGAAATGTGTCACAACATTATAAATTATATAATATTAAATAAAATTAAAACTACTCAAAATCGATTTCATAATATAATTTAATAATTATAATTAACTGAGCAACTAGTTTCGACTTATGTGGACATCATCAGGCATAATATGAAATGTTAGAAAATTCAATTATACAAAATTCATCTATCCAGTGATATGAAGAGACTTATAAAAGTTGGTATCAACAACAGGTATTTAATATACGAGGGAAAAGTATTAGATTTTAGCTCGATGTTGTATTGGTTACTCGATGTGATGCTGTTGTACTTATAGCGTCATTGGACCTGCGTTGCTATGGAAACTATTATAGTGATCAAATATCTGTCAATTTATTACTGGGTTTAAAAAATTGTGAACTTAAATTGTTTATTAGTTATTTTGAATATTCAAAAAATAACCATTCCTGGATTTAGAGTTTTTTCTTACTCCACCGGAATTATAGTGGAG